TCTCTCTCTCTCTCTCTCTCTCTCTCTCTCTCTCTAATTTACTCATTTATTTATTCACTCACTCACTTTCACATACACAAAACTAATACAAATATTAGACCAAGTTCAGATTAAAAATAAAATACTGACCAGCAGGCGAGCGGTATTTTCAACTTATTATTGCTAAGTGTGGTAATGCCGGCCAAAGTGGCCATCCAGTCATTCCAGCATTTCTTATTAGCCTTACGGTCAGAGTTACCACATTTGCCCATCTGTTGCAACTCAAGCGCCCGGCGCCGGGACTTACACACACCTGACGAGTGCTTAATCACTGAATACACAAACAGATTCAATACAGTTCTGTCCACACTGTCCAGACATGTGTCGGCGTATTGTTTAACCGCTTTCTCTCGCTGTTTACTCGACCTGTATATCAAAATCAATATAATATTGTAAAGATACAATATAATAATCATATCATGTACATATGGTAAGTTCAATGGCATATGACCTGCATGAACTTACTGGCAAAATTGTTTCATCTCGATCTCGTTGGTGGGAAATTGCTGTTGGTCGCCAGGAAACAAAAACATCTCCTTGATCAATTGATCGACATTATCACGGTCGTTTTCGCACTTGTACTCCTGGCCATTACATGACATATTCTGTGACACCCATAATACCAATGCAACTATTAATGTAAATGAATACATGGTAAGTATTTTTATTAAAGTGTTAAAGTAGTGTCTAAATGCAATATCTAATAGAATGATATACTAGTATCGATCGGTAGGTTATTAAATACCTTTGGTTTCATAATCAAGGTACGGGATTCTTCCTTAACCTTGGTAAATCTGGGGAAAAAATTTAAATGCAACTGACACTTTATTTACATTATTAAATTTATTGTAAAACACCAAAATATAAAAACAAATTTAATAGATTTGTTATTGAATAAAGTCAATAGATACATAATTTTAAATGAACACTTAAACATGTTTGCTTTTTGATAGATTTATGAATGTAGTTTTTATTTTTATTTTAACTCGGTAATGCAAGAATGCAATATTTTGATTGACAGGGCACTTATGTAAATTTATTTAATGAATATTAATTATAAATACATATGTAAAGAATAGTTTAAAATCTATTTAGTGAAAGGTGATTTGCAATCACGATAAAATACTTGTGAACAATCCGGGTATTAACCAGTATTTAACCAGTTACAAGTATTAACCAATCAAAGACTTTAGTCATTTAAATTGTTATTTAATATTTATTAAAAATTTATATTTCCTTAATGTTTAATGATGCTATAATTTAATTCTAATTCAGTTAGTAATACAATAAAATCGCCATAATTTCTTACGTAATTGAATTATTTAAATAACACAAAAATTTTAATTTACTTGGTTGGCATATTTAAAATCTAATAAAAATTAATATGACATTAAACAAACGTCATAGTTTTTAGAGTTAATTTAAATTAAATTTATATAATAATAATTATCACAAAAAATATAAATTAACCTACAATTAAAAAATCTTAGTCTTTTATTTTGCAATTAAAACTACAAATTGTAATCTACAGTATTTATTATTTAACAGCTCACATGATTATTCGGCGCCAGCTAGAATGTTAACCATTATTTTGACGGGCGAATGGTTCTTGGTCTTTTTGTCGATGGCAAACTTAGGCGTCTTAGCGATGAATTTGTCACATTTGTCGCTATCCTTGCCGTAATCGCCGCACATAAAGCCCATTATGTCTATAATATACGAGTCAAACAGTTTGTCCATAAATGACACGGCTTTTGGCGGACATACGGTCGTCTGGCGCTCAAATGTTGTCTCTAAGCACTTGCTCATTTGCGATATGTAGCTAGGTGGTTTATGTTCAAAGTTAAAATTGTATTGATCTCTCTCTCTCTCTCTCTCTCACTCACTCACTCACTCACTTATTCATTCATTCATTCATTTATTTATTTCAAAATCTAGAAAATACTACAAACTGTAATTAAATAATTGGCCACAAATTTTAATATTTAAATAATGCAATGTTAATGGTAACTTATGGCAATAATAACCTTTATGCAATAATCATTTTCCTTTATAATTAACTTTAACTTTGAGTAAAACTACATATTATTATTTTTTATTATAATGCTTTATAATATAATTGTAATATAAATCGTAAACTAAATATTTTTAATACTATATAAATATGGAAATGTATCACTCATTTAATAAATTACCATTTAGTATAAACTGTTATCAAACAATTGCTTATAATATATCAGGTTGACTAATATAATTTAAATTATTATATATGGAATAAATTATTTACATAATCCTTATTTTTATAATAATAAATTATATTTTAATTTATGCAAATTGCAATTTTTTGCTTTATACCGAAATATAAAACTCAATAAAAACTTACAAATAAATATTTTAAATGTAGAATTATGCAAATCTCTCTCTCTCTCTCTCTCTCTCTCTCCAAATTTTAAAATTTTGTAGAAATTATAATTAAACAA